TAAATTTATTCACCCTATTTCGTTAAGATGATAAAGAACCGAAATAGAATGAATAAATCGCGTGTAAATTATCCACTGGTAGTCTCGAAAACCTGTTATATAGTCGATTGTTATAGGAAATACAATTTTGCTTCATCAACAAGCTCACAACAAAATGTGATATGGTAAAATATTTCCTAGGCATCCTTGAAATTCAATTCTGCGCAGGGACCTAAGAACACTCGTGAGAGTGAGGGGCTGTGGGTAGCGTGTGGAGACTATACGCCACGCTACCAAAGATCGAGTCCTGCGGTGAGTGCTGAAGAGACCCAGACGAGTCCGAAACTGCAGTACACTGCTGCCGGGATAAAAAGCAAGGTTATGTGAAATTCAATAGAGATATGAAGTCTAATCACACGATTGTTGCAAAATCTAACTAACAGCCTTTCGTCACCTTAACGAAATAGGGTGAATGCATCTCATATATATGACCTGCTTATTTTTTTAAATAACTAGAAACAATCCTTAAAATAAACATTGTAATTAGTTTGCAGAAAGTCCAATTAGACATTGATGCAAGTCAGAGAACCAATAAAATGGTTCTTATCAGGAGCTTCGATTGGTTTCGAAAAAGAATATATTATCAACAGAATGATGTAAGACAGGTTCGATTGGTCGATGTTTTAATACATCCGTAATGCATTCTAGTAGACATCCAATGCTATGAAAACAAATTTTAGCATGGCTTCATGATTTAAGAGCCAGTATCAGGCTAGAAGCCTGCTTTGTTTTTAATACATCTTCATTCTAAATTGTTTGAGATAAGAAAAAATACGCCACGAAGGCTAGATCATCTTGGTCTTACTATCCAGGAAAAAGTAGCACAGTTGCTTAAAACACTAAATAATACTTTTTTAAAAATATTTTCTGCATATAAATTAAAACTATATGAGCAACAAAGAAAAGGCGCTGAATAAAAGTGGAAAATATAGACTATGACATACTTGGAAAGCGCGAATCACGCCACCATGTGCGCACCCTCGGGCCCCTCCACCACCAAGCACTAAACCGACGGCCTGGCCTGTGAGATACCTAGCGAGTCTTGAAAAATCTGAAAGAGGGTTTGGAATCTCGTGAGCGAAAACGCGCGTATAGAAAGCAATAAGGCGATCAGAGCTGCGTTTGAAGAAAACGCGTGGTGGACATCGGATGTGATAGTGCTGGCTCACCCAAGGGCGGGCATTAAGCCAGGCTGCAGTGCGACCCGAGGCTGGATATGCAACATCCTGGGGATACATCAGCACCAAGACTTTGGTAACCTATAGCACGAATAAAATCGAAATAAAGGTCCCCAAAGCGTGCATATAAGTAGAGCGAATATAAATTAAGGAGAATACAAGTAAGGCATAAAAATAAACGCTGAATTAAAAATGGATTCAGTACATTGCATAAATTGTGTCTAAATAGAAGTGAGATTGTATGCGATGTTGAGAGCCAGAAGTTACGATATTCCTTAAGCAAATCCAATAGTAATTTATGAATACAAATTAGAATATCTACTTTCAAATAAGTATGTAATACATACATATCTATTTAGAGAACTTTCAATGGCTTGTTGTAAGTAACCTATTACAAGATATAAAACCAGGAATATAGGTCAGCATAACCGTTATTTAATTAATTAATTAAAAATTATGATGACGAAGCATAAATGGATAGATTATAATATATGATCGATATGGTAGCAAAA